ACGCTCGTATACAGTGAGCGGTGGCCTCGACCGCGTCATAGAAAGCCTTGCCACAATAGGCCTGATGCACTCAGAGTACCTCTTTCATGACCTGCTGCGAACTTATGAGCAACGCCGTGTTGCATCTAGAGCATAAGGCGATCTGATGCGTTCATGTTCGGATGTGCTGAAGGCGCACAAAGTACCTGTTTGGGTTGTGATTTTCCAGCAGTGCGGAGATGTTCCGGAACTAATGTGCCTTAAGCATGCTCCTTGGTATGAAAAAAAAAAACAAAGATAGACTACGCCAGTGAATTCCTTAGCCGGTAGTTTCATGGCTACCCTGTTTTGTCTGGAGAATCCTGTTTTCATCCACATATGCTTGTTTTGTATTTGAGGGGGCGAGGAAGTATGCACCAGCTACAAGAGAAGCAAATTAGCTGAAACCCTGCAAAAGGGAAAATCACTAACCACACTCTCCACTGATTCTGTTGTGAAAGGGTAGTCTTCGTTTTCTGGTTCCTGCAATACAATAAAGAGAGGAACACTTGTAAACAATTCACTAAGGTTAGATAATAAGTGATGAGCGAGACTGATTGACAACACCCCATTTAATTCGATTCACTTCCATTCTAGTTGTGTCAGACAGCATTGTGGCACATTTTCAAGTGAACACACAGTGTTACCGCATTGTAAATCTGGTCCATCCCTCAAAAGTTGAACATAGACAGATTAGGTGAATCCAAGCATGGCCATTCCCCTCATTAAGAACTACTAGTCGTGTCTCATTGACGTTTACGCAATCAGACAATGAAATAAAAAGTGCTGATAATTTAATGGGAGCATTTTACTGATCATCCGTAATGACAAATGAAAGTTACATAGAATATAAGTTCCGTGGTGCAAAGTGAGTATTTATTATAAACGCTCACGCGAACAAACCCAGTGTGGCATGCCTGAATGCTTGAACTAGTCTGCGCTCCTCAGAGCGAGTCTCGAAAACCATGGTGACAGTGGAGCCTGCCTATCTGTAATTCGATTATAATCAATCCATAAATCAAGAGAATTATTTAAAAAAGGGAATCGAAAGTTCCAGCAAGAACAGATATCGCATGAGAGAGTTGCGTGGTGTGCATCGGACCGAATATCATATTTCTTGGAACACCTCGTCATCACACTTAGGTGTTTTCGTATTCCGCAGGGAATATCTTGTGGAAAATTCAGAAAATGTTCCGAAAATATTGTAACAAATACCAAGTTTGGAGGAACTGTTGGTGGATACAACGTTAGTTCCACCTGAAATTGCTACATCCAAAGTTAATTTTGACCAGTAATATACGAGAGCATGTTAAAATGTGTGTAACATAAGTATTTAACTTCTGTTGGAGTCTGAGGCAAATAAATATAACTTTTTTCCGTTGACTATAGAAGCAGTCGTTCTCAACCGGTTTCGCACCGTTCATTCTTTCCAGTCTTTATTACTCTCTCTTTCTCTTCGGCCGAAACGAAATATTTCAAATGGAATATCCAGAGACTGCTCATAGGTAACAAATGGGTCACCATTGTTGCGTATGTAACCCAGAAAAAAGAAACCTTGATGAAGACACGATAAGTTTTTTTTATTTTCACATAGATGCACATCAGCGGAAACCTTGCAAATTTCCGACAAGTTAAAGGACTGAAGACTTTGAGGTAAACGATTCTATAAGGACAAAAAATCACAGTCGGAACAAGTGAATCCAGCAACGCAGAATTTATTGGGAAGTTAGTAACAGTGAAGGAATTCAAGGTATCTCTTTGGTTATTTATCATCTAAACATTGTCACCTTGGTCACCACAATGAGTGATTGACCTTCTCAGTTAGGCTTCGCTCCGACTTGGCAACTAACACCCGGTATCTTCTCCGTTCATGAGGGAGTCGGTCGACTGCAATATGCGGCACGTGGCCAAGCCAACGTAACCGATGCAGCGTGATCAGTTCATCGATCGACGGTGAGTTTTTTCTTCCGAACACCATTCGACGTACTTCAGCATTGCTGACCCGGTGTGCCCAACAGACTCGGGCAATACTCCAAAGATATTGATGATCAAACACTGAAAGTCTTTCGACTTCCTCAGCGCGCAACGGCCAGGTTTCTGATCCGTATAGTAGAATGGAGCGCACCGCAACATTGTAAACTTGACCCCTTGACGGATAAGCTGAGGTCAGGCCTGCATCACAGGTGACGCAGGTTCACGAAGGCTAATCTGGCCTTCCCAATTCGGATGGAAGTATCATCTTTCTCGAGACAGTGAAAATTGGATGTGCATGACGCGATAAAGGTCCAAAGCCACTATTGCTTCTGGATGAAAACGGTCAAATGAGTAGGTCTGAGTGGAAAACTGCTCGTTAACCTTTGTTTATCTCACCTATCTCCGAGCTAGAACGATTAAAAGGAGGATGCTAATCGAGACCAATCCTCACGTTTACCACTTAGGATTTCAATGCAGTACTTCACTGAATTCTCATTGTATACCACTCTTGAAATGAATACTCTTTACAAAGGCCGATTCATCTCTGATATTGAACGCATCGGAGTAGTTTCCCTATGCAACATTACTTATATGGTTGGCGAAAATTCTTGGATGTCCGAATCTGCCTTGCCCATATATTATAAAGGAGTTGAATCTTCACATTAATAGTTTCTGCGATAATGGTGGTAGTAAAAAAGTTACCAACATCTCCATTTTTAAATGAGAGTCCAGATCTACGTGCGCTCCACTTAGTGCTCATGCACTGGTTGAGTGATTGAGATTCGTTGACTAGACCTATCCGACGATCCTAAGAAAAGATGATTTGTCCGAGAGATTTCATTAGCACTACAAGTAGTGTTATATCCAGAATATATACGGCCTGAAGGGTTTCAGTGAACCCATTAGTGTTCAACACATGCCACGTTTTGTGACGCATCGTCAACTTTACCATGATTTTCGTGATATGTAAATAATAAAACAAAGTGTACACAGAACTTGTAGTCCGTAAACAGACCGTCTCGTCTGAATAGAAGAGAAACAACATCCGTCTTACAGTAGAATTCGCAGATGTTTTTGTCAAACTAAGTTAACGCTTTCTCGAGTGCAAACCCCACCGTTTTTACACGGTAATAGTGACTGAGGATAGCTATGGTTGAGCTTCTTGCATTATTTTGATTCCACTGCGCTACTATCAATCACAGTAGACAACTGAGAATTAAAAATACCAGATGTGAGCGTTCACGTCATCTCGTATTCGAAAGGTCATCAGCCTCTCATATCATGCTATAAGCAGCACAACTAAATGATTGACTGTCTATAGTTAACAAAGTTACAATGCTGATCCTTTCTGAGAAGGCTGTACCAAAGCAAACCCCGGAGAATTTACACCAAAAAAACTTTGTCTATCATCTATTCTCAATAGAGTACCGCCCACGCTGAAAGCCAAACGGAGTTTATCACCGTTGGGCCTTTGTAAGGTTACTTCAATTGGTGATGTCTTTGAAACAGGTGAGACATGCGGGAAAGATATTTTTTAAAACAGGGATACAACGTCTATGGTTATAGTGGGACATTCTCATTCACGCTTCTATTCCCAACAGACCGGCCGCCGTCAGCTTTATTGAAGAAAATAGCAGCGAATTACTCATTTTAAGTAATCACTTGATTGCTGCTGTTACGACAGAGGCCAAACAAGATATACTCTGTCCGATAATTCAGATAAAGGACATTCGTAAAACGTTGTTCGGTGGGACAAAACAAGACAATCAACGCTGCAATACGAACCGAACAAACCAATTAACCACATTACGAGCAATAGCTATGAGTAGTGGTTTTGATTAGGTCACAACAGCTAAGTGAATTAATAGAGCAACTAAGAAGGAATACGAGCAACTGAACCTATTTAAAAGTGTACTTGTGCAAAGAGATATTGAAAGCACTGCTCGCAACCGTCGTCCTCAGAGTTCACACCAGAGACTAATCAGCAATACTGAAACATGCTTCAGCTTAAAGCCTCGAACTGGTATGTAGCAACTCATAACCATGGATACGAAGGGCAAAGAAACGTCATGGTTACACGTTCAGATTTCTTTTTCTGATGTCTTGTTCCCAGGTTTGCCCTGTGGATTTACCACCACATCGAAACGCATGTATCCAAGTAAAAATATCATTTAGATTAAACCTACGGGAGAGTTCGGAACGACAGCTCCGTCCGGTGATAGTAATCTCTTCACATTCCGTTTCGTGTGGCCTATCAAGCGTGAATCTCCACCGGACTGCTGTCGGCCAGACTGGAGCGGTAAATCACGCAGAAACAAATTGCTAGGAATCTCTGAATCAGTCGAGAACAACGTAGCCGAGTCGCCATCATTTTCCACTTCGTATTTTGCACCACTGTCAGTCATCGGGAATGGTTCTCCATTAGGCGTTTTCTAAAAAGTTTAATGTCGAGACAAACATGAAAACAGCGTCACTATTTGTACCATGAGAAATACGCTGTCACAACAAACATGTCACCCTAGTTGCGTAAAGTTTACAGGGGACGATTTCACTTTTGGCTGCAACATGTTAAAAAGCCGCAACACATATATCCCGGAAGCTAAGACTAAAATGAGGTGACAGAGGGCCTCAACTCGGTGGTATATTACTATTCACAGTTGAGCTGGTGTGGCAAAGTGCATATAAAAGGGGCGGAATATCTCATTGCCTGATCAATTTAAGGGTTCCCTACTTTATCATTCAATTTGATTGTTGGTGCGCCTCTGGATTGTGACGTGGAGACTTGATGATACTTCGACAGACATCAGGCTAAATTTTAAATACGGCCCACATGATGCATCAGGCTTCACCGTCCTTTGATGCTTCACTGGGTGGCGGTGCTTCCGTGGGATGCATAGCAAAATAGGTTATTCATCTGCTTTCGCTTACCGTTCCAACACAAGATAAGCGATTTTGCGTAGCGTCCGTCGTTTCATTTTTAGTCGCGTCGTAGCGGGATATTGGGAATACCCGCTGAGAAGTTGCGCGGTTTCATCTGGGAGGTGAAACCTGTATCCTGTCGTACTAATGATATCTCACCACATGCAAGCCAAGGATATGTGATAACAAACACAAATCCATGGTTCATTAAAGCTCAGTAAACATCTGTAAGACAGGTAAAGCCGTTCCCCTAGTAGCGTATGCCCACCTTTTTGGGCATGGTTCATTAGGGTTAACTTGGTTAAAGCAAGCGATGGACTTTTGTATCATGCATAATAGACAAAGGGGGCTACGCGTACCAAGCTAACATATACCAGGAGAAACGGCATCCAATCCGAAGTGAAAAAAGCTCACAGGTGGACAAAATATGAGCTGGCAGAAAGGAAATGGAAGAAGATACGAACTGTTTAGCTGTTGTGGATGCCGTTCGAGGATGGGGCCAACGTGGCCGCCCCAATGCTTGAGTGGAGACAGTGAAATATTCGGTAGCTAACTCGTGTCGTTGTTTGTTCCATCATTTTCTATCCTACCTTTATTCCAAACTTTACTCCCCTTCTACTGTAGTTTTCATTTACATAAACTGAAACGCTTGTAAGGCATTGAAACAACCGAACTCTACGCCAATGCTAATTCCAATGAATGGTGATGCCCACCCCTGAAGTGCTCTGTACCCGACAGTTCACCTACTTTATTCCAAACTTTACTCCCCTTCTACTGTAGTTTTCATTTACATAAACTGAAACGCTTGTAAGGCATTGAAACAACCGAACTCTACGCCAATGCTAATTCCAATGAATGGTGATGCCCACCCCTGAAGTGCTCTGTACCCGACAGTTCACCTAGATGTCTCCCTTGGTAGTGAGCTCTTCCTTTCTGGCAAAAAAAAACTAGGATGAATTCAATGGATCGTTATTACTTCTTCGATTCACTCTTCAAACTCAAACATTAAAATAAGTGTACATATGCAAACAGCCTTGAAACACACCCTAGAGCGTCCACACGTCCGAAGCGAGCTTTGACCGGTGCCATCGGTTGGTTCTGTACTGCAGAGTAATAGCTCGTTGCACGATATGTTACTAGAAATACGAAAAGCACCTGTTCCTGCAAAATGATATTTGAAGTTATTGGAGGAACTAACCGATTTAGGTCTTGATTCGCTCTCTTCCGCGAATCCCTGCCTCGGGACAACCAAGTTATCTTCAGTTCGATAATGTCTCATCGAACTTTCATCAGGTTTTCGTGTCCGTGGCTCTGGTTGGTACTGTTTTCTGAACACTGGTGGTCCATAACTGATCAAGCTGTCCTCAATATACTCGTCCAACTGGGAACTGCGTTCTTTTTCCTTCTGTCTAGGTGCAATGAAAGAATTGCCGTAGATCTTCTCAGTATCTCCAAATGAATCCGATTTATAGTCGCCCAAAGAAACAGGCTTTTCTCGCACCTATTACTTACC